GTTCTATCTTGCCTTTAGTAAGTTATACAGTAAGTGCGCCCCCGCTCGCTCTTCCCTCTCCGCTTGCCGCGATCGTGTCATAGCATGCTCCTGAATTCGCTGTCCTTGATATCGCGCATGCTGCGTGACGGACACTTACTTTTTCATGGACACATCACGTCCTTTGCTGGTCCCCTTTCGCTAAGCTAAATGCCATGACCGAACGACACGTTCAATCTTGGTGATTTCGTGTTGCTGGTACAATTCATCGGAAGAGATCATTTAGAGTGTGTGCGCTTATTGTGTAGTCAAAAGTGAGTTAGCGGAAGGGCGCTGTCAAGGAGGACGCAATGGCGTTTTCGTGACAGCAATTTAACAGTAGCCTAGGACGAAGCGTTCGTGTTGAGACAGCCCAGGAAGGGCAGATCGTAAAACTATTTGATCTGGCGAAAATAGCTGTCCACACACACACATCCGTAAAGTGAATATATATATGGCCGATAAGCTTCACCTCATAACTGCGTCACTATCGAAGATAGGTAAGTAAAGGGGAGATTCGTTTGTGTCCATAGTTTCTCTAAGCTATGAGGTAAGACGTGTTGCATAAGATTCCGATTCGAATTTAGGTTATAATAGAAAAATCTACTCCCTACATAATGAGAATTCCTGAAATTGATCTTCATCTAGTCCTTCCGATTCAGCTTAGTGACACAAAAATATCAACTTTGATAAAAGCATGTCTTGAAGAGAAAGATAGCATAAAGAGAAGAAAGGAAGGAAAGGCAGCAAGGTCAACCAGACGCGCGTTGCTATCCTACTCGAAAAAAGGGGAATCGGGGATTAAAAGACAAGGAGATCAAAAGAAAAAGGACACGAAAAAAAAGGGTGGAATGTCTATATTGAAGTGGCTCATGAGACCTATAATATATTGAGGTAATGTAATCGTACATACTCATGTTTCTTTTGTAATACTTAGTGTATTCTTCATAGAGAGACAGTTTGTGCGTCACCCTTACGTCTTCATAGCTGTGTAAATATTCCCGAAAACCTTTTGGTGTTGAGTCTTTATGCATGTAGCGACATGAAGATATGGCGAGGCGAATCTAGTAGATTCATCGATATGCAATTTCGTCAGTAACCAGCATTTACTATCAGTTGTCCTTCTACATCACTGCTTTATGCCTGTTGCAGAATTTTGTGCTCCCCACAGCCACGGGTAAATCCATTTCTGTGCCTGTGTCATCCTTATCTATGCCAGTCTCTTGAATTTTAGAAATGATAAAAATTATCGATTGCAGGCAATAACAAACAAAAAAAAACACGATTCGGTGAAGATATATTATAGGACCAGCACAAATACGATGCACCCAGACATCTCTCACGACTTGCTTCTGTTGTTCACTCACATACTGGTGGTGGCCACAGTGGTTTCGCAAGGTAAATACGACGTAACCACAGCGAGACATGTTGAAATTAAACTTACGATCGTCAGCAGTGTCATTTCTTATGGCCTGTACAATAAAATTTCCTTCAATCACAGCTGGTGTGTTAACTGCAATATTGTTTTGTATTGAAGTCAGTATTAGACGCAGACAGGAAGGTGTACAGAAGAAAATGCAGTGTTTCTTCCTATACTCCTACCATTTTCAATTCTATTGTAAATGCTCTCTGGCTTTGTCTGTGCTCTAGCTTGCTGAGGTCAACTATATACGCGCGCGCACTGGCATCCTGGTCAAAATCCGCACTTTGAAAATATATTTTGCGTTGAATAAGAAGTGCAAAAGTCAGAAGCAATACAAACATCATGCTGCGTGGTAAATAATAATCCTCTCGCTGAACGTACAAACAATACTTAAAGAACGTACGTAATAGCTGGCTTGCGCGTCATTGTGAAAAATTGTCGCTAAAAGCAGTCTTTTAGTGTGTCCATCATTGCATTTAAGGACAGCAACAACTTTACACTACCAACTTAATAACGGCAACATGATTTTGGGATAAATGTTCTCTTCTGCGATTTTTAGAAATATTGAGGTTGAATTATTTGAACGCGATGTGTCGCTGAATTGTGTGTAGGCATTAAACGTTGTTGGAAGCTATGAGTAATTATAGTGTATGCCTATTTTCCTGGCAATAATGAGTTCATTGCGTATATTTTCTTCTCGCTGACGCATTCGTACTCAGCAAACGTTTTTCTTGGTGCCAAGGGTAAGGGTCAAAAAGCCACCACAAGCAGTAATAAATTATCATAAGTGCAAGCCATACCGCTTTAAACGATATGTTTATAGCACCCGAAGAGCATGCTTTACTATTCCAATTCATTGTGGTTTCTATACTGCTGCACATTTTTTCCCTTCCGTGCTCTTCCTTGTCAGGCGTCTCGGTTGTGTCGCTGGATAAGTCTCTCGAGGTAAACCATGTGACTGCTCGTGTGGGTGACAATGTTGAGATCAAGTGTGACGTCACCGGGACTCCTCCGCCTCCAATTGTGTGGCGACGAAACAACATGGACCTCTCTTCGCTAAGTGAAGATGAGATCAAGGTAGGATCGTTTGTACTTTCATGCTGCCACAGGCGAAAGTTAGAGCTGCGTGGAAGCTGCGTTATTAGCAAGTATCTGATTGATCTCGTATACGTCTAAACTGTCGGTAATGGAATTAAGGACCATGCTTTCAGTACAATAACGCCGTACCACCGTTTCATTATGCATACTGCAACTTCATAAAATAAAAAGAAAAGCTAGCGTAAATGCCAATTCTGTAGACGTAGCATTAAGTCTAGAAAAAATGAAACATTTTCCTGAAGGATGTTTAGAGAGTTTCTTAATATAAAATATGTCTGACTGGTCATGATGAAAAACGCTAACCACAGCCGCATTTTTTCCATGATGTCTTTTCTTATGCAATTCCTTTCCACCAATATCGTGCTTTGTCAGTGGTTAGAGAGACTATGCGTCCCCGTTATAAAAAATTGGGTGGAAATGAACGTTGTTTCATTATAAAGGCTCATAACTGAGTGCACCATGGTTTGAAACTGCATAGCGGTACATTATACAAGTTGAGAAGTTGAATGAGCAGAGAATACCAATGATCATCGCACCTACGCCTCAAGCACTTTAGGGTGCTTGCTTTTACCATTGTGTCTGCATGAAATTTATACATTAACTCAAGTGGTCAGTATGTGAATGAATAACACTGAGACGTCGACAGACTAGTCGTACGCTTTCTAAGTATCACTTTCTGGTGGGACCATTTAAAGTTTCTTTTTTTAAAAATGTGTTTTGCTTTTTTCTTCTGTAAAGAATGCTTTGCCTGACATAATTATATAAAAGGTGAAGTTAGCTTTACTTGTCGATCTGTGGTAAGCGATATTATTATTATTATTATTATTATTATTATTATTATTATTATTATTATTATTATTATTATTATTATTATTATTATTATTATTATTATTATTATTCAAAAAGCAATACAAAGGTCGCTATGATGACCTCTGGACGACTACATGAAGACTAGTGTTGAGCTGGCATTAAACGCTGAACGTCGTGCATTATTTGGTCTCGTTCAAGTTTCGCAATTTAAACATAAAAAACTAATACTTCATATTGCCAAAGAAATTTTAGACTGTGGCTACAGCTACCTAACACCAACATAACCAGCATTCTGTGTTTCTGTCTTCAGGTATTCGTTGATGGCTCCCTGTATCTCACCAACGTGCAACTGGTCCACTCTGGAAACTACACCTGCCACGCCCAAAGAAACCATGACGTCATTCAAACGCATATTTTACACGTTCAAAGTAAGCTCATTTCACCATTACTTGCGAGCATGCGATGCCATTCATGCTTTTAATGTTGTTGTCTGTATTATTTAGCATTAGGCAGGTAAACTGCCCAGCTACAAGTCAAACAGAAGAAGCTAAGTAAAGCTACAAGCGTATAATTCATTTATTAAAGAGTTCTCGGGAGCACTAGCAATGTGAAAAAAAAGTTTTACACCGTGGTAAATCACAAAATTTATTGTGCGCATTCGTTCACTTTTTACAAAGGCATATAATTTTTTAGGGTGGAGAAAATGTGGCAGCCATATTCTCGCACAACGACCGGCAAGTTCTACGCCCACTGGCGGCTAAATGTTCTAAATATTCATGCTTCCAACAAAAAACAAGTCGCGCGTTAACTTTGACATCAGACAGGAAACATTGCTAACGTACAATACGCCGCCAAGCTAGTTGATGCAGAATGAAGAACATGGCAATTTGGCAATTATTCGTTTCCTGTTTTATCCCTGGTGACACACATTTAAAACAAGTGCGACCTGCTGTTCGCAGCAATGCCCGAGGTTCGGGTGATTCCAAAGCTTCAGTCGCGAGCACCAGGTGAGCTGGCCGAGATGGAGTGTCACGTGACAGGAGTACCCACACCGCGGGTCACATGGTTGAAAAACGACGAAGGCCTTCGAGTCGCCACTGACAAGTATACCATCATAGGTGAGTCTCACTTTCCGCTCGTGCATCGATGAGCAAAGTTCAGCTTTGGTTAATTCTGATCTTCTAATCGAATATGCATTATGCATGAAAAGATTGCCGCTTGAGCTTACTTCTAACAAAGGTTGTTTCAGTCGACGGGCTCAAGCCGGAATGTTGCTTAATGCCACAGATTTTCTTCGGGTATACAGTGCCCCACTATGGGATGTGTACCAAACCAGGATACAATGAAAATACCAAAAAAAACTTATTACAACTTCAGGAAAACTAACATGGACGTATACAGCTTAGTCCGCAATTTTCTATCATTACCACCACACCAGTAGCTCACAATGTGCACGAAGTAAACGTAACATTATAGGGCGGGAGAGTGCCGCCACCCTTCTGCTGTCGCAACATCATGACGTGCATGTGCACCTCACGCTTAGAGGGTCAGCATCTTTTCAGTGCCGCGCACTGCGTTTAGCTAGCCGCACAAGTTATGAATCCTAAAAGTACGCACCATCGCAATTCATTTACTTAGCGTAATAATGGTTGCACAAGGTATGCATGCAGTAGTAAAGGCTTCTGCGGAACTCAGAAAATCATCTATGATAGATTCCTCTGGTTTTTTAGCGGAAAATGGGCGAATTGTAAAAATGAAAACAATTGAACAACTATGTCTCTGAAGAGAGAGAGTGAGAAATGGGGGAGAGCTCTTATTCAAAAAACTGAATGGTTAGCTAGAATGTATTCGCTTCCAATCTATTTTGCAGAGAATTGAATGGAAAGGACAGAGGCCCTAGGCGAATTTATCGTACATTGGTAGTCATCGGCGAATTCATTGCCGCTTAGTATATTTCATAGTGCCTTAGTAGTCAGGACATACGTACTTAAACGCGAACGTAAATACATATATTATATACGCAAGTCTTGTGAGAGAACATTCACACAGTAAGTCACATTTTATTGACACTCACGGCCAGGCTGGCCGAAGCGGCCAGTCTGGCCGTGACTTAGACTGGGTAGAGACGGTGAACGAAGGGCTTGAGGCGCCAAACGTGTACTCTCTAAGAACCACGGCAACGACGCTGTAAAGAAGCTGCAAAGGAAGTGACATGATAGTTCGGAGCTACGTAAATTTACGGTAAATTAGGCACGTAAACTTACGTACGTCCCTACGAAATATTTCAACCCTGCTTGTGGACACAAACGACACAGCGTACCGTTTCTCGTATCACGTATTTCTTGAAAGCTCACGAAAGGAGTACATTTTCAGCCTAGGACATCCGGCTTCTTACTGTGGTTGTTTTTTTTTTTTTGTACTGCTTGCTTTGTTTCACGTTCTCGTGGAATTCGCACTACTTGATTGCGACATTCCACTTGCTCGTGGAATGTCTTATTTTCGAAGCATAAAAAGACGAGCAAGAGTGACTGTACCCCTCTCGTTTTTGCCGCCACTTCTAGGAAACGGGACAGCCTTAATGGTCGGCAAGATTACCTACAGCGACACAGGAGCCTACATGTGCGTTGCGTCCAATCCCGCTGGATCCACAAGGGACATCAGCTCACTCGTTGTCCAAGACCAGCCCACTCCGAGTAAGGAAACTCAATGCCTCAAGATAAGACCATTTGCGCTTAACTATGCATGCCCGTGGAATCTAAAATCGATTAAGAGAGCTTTCCCGTGTTTTTCGCTGTGCAGCAGAGAGGAGAAAAACTGAGGCGTAAAGGAAGTTTGCGTGCGCACTATGTTGGTCAGTGAAGCGTTGGGTAAACTGCATTAAAACGACTGATAGCGTATTACTCTGAAGGTAACGGCAAGCTTACAGAAGGATTTCATGCTCTAAGGGACTTAATGATGTTGCGGGATTAGAAGCGTCCACGATGAAGGGTCAAGAAGACCTACTTGAAATTTAAAGCTAATATACGCATGTTGATGCGTAGAACGTTAATGTTTACGTCGGCTGGTTTATTTTCATCTTTTATTACTATTTGTTCCAGTCAAGATTTAAAATACCCAAGAACAGAATAGCTGAAAATGAAGGATATGACATGACATTGCGTAACAGCCTCCATTATATTCTAAGAAAAAATGCAGTGTTTTTTTTTCCAGTACTCATTTTTAACAAAGCGCGTCTTTGGCCACTCCTACTTCCGTCTTCGTAATTAGTTCCAGTTTCCTAGAACACTGACGAATTTCCGGCTTCAACTCCTAAAAGGCCCTGCAACACTCTTCGAGCATAGTTATAAAGTGCTGCCGATCAGTAGTAGAGGCTTCCAAAACACACGAGAAAAATGTTATAGCGGAGCACGTGGACTGGAATTCACAATAAATTACCAAAGTCAGCTAAATATTGCTTTCTTTTCCCTCGACACATCGCCCCGCCGCGGTGGTCTAGTGGCTAAGGTACTCGGCTGCTGACCCATAGGTCGCGGGTTCAAATCCCGGCTGGGGCGGCTGCATTTCCGATGGAGGCGGAAATGTCGTAGGCCCGTGTGCTCAGATTTGGGTGCACGTTAAAGAACCCCAGGTGGTCAAAATTTCTGGAGTCCTCCACTACGGCGTCTCTCATAATCATACGGTGGTTTTGGGACGTTAAACCCCACAAATCAATCAATCCCTCGACACATCACGGAAGGTGCTCCAAAGTTAAACGTAGATTGCCAATCTATTAGCCATGGATTGATTTGAACATGGCGCGCTTGGTTATTACAGAGATCGCCGCGAGAGACCGGTACATGTCCACGCGTGCGCACGCGATCAAACTGAAAAAGCCGCGTATGCGAAGAAAAAAAAAAGAAGAACGTGCTAAAGGTCCCGAGGCGAAGCGCGCGTGACGTTTTTTCTTTGCCCCTCCCAACTCGTCCTGCTTAGCATCCAGCGCTTTCGTCCCGACGAGAGAAGAGAGAACACGATTGCAGCGTGTGACAAATCTTTGTAACTCCGCTCGTACTGCACAGATTCTTAACATTTTTGTGGCGTTCAATTTGTGAGGTAATACACTTTTACAGTGAATTATTTCTATGGTTACTCAAAAAAACTGTTTCACGGCCCCTTTAAAATGCAATATGTGTCTGCTTGAACTCATTGGGCGAATTGATGAGGGATTCTTTGTACAGTAGTCGATTATTCACTTGTACTTAATGTGTTATGGATGTGCATCACAACAATAAAGTGTCCTCGAGAAGCGAAAATCTTGGTATTTCCAGGCGAGATTTTAATACAATTCTGTAAAGTTTTAAAATAGCTCATATATTAATATGCGCGATAGTGTTAAAGACTTTGTTTCGCGGAAATTCCGACTTCTGCGCCTGTGTCGGTGTTGTTGATTGTGTGCAAAAAAATTATCTTCTCCGTGGCCGAAAAGTTTAAGAAGATAATAATAATAATAATAATAATAATAATAATAATAATAATAATAATAATAATAATAATAATAATAATAATAATAATAATAATAATAATAATAATAATAATAATATTTTTATTCCCACGAATGCAGTGTTGATTAAGGGAGTTGGAAAAAAGCAACAGCCCGCTTGACAGGCCACTTTTATGGAAATAAAAGCAACAGGCTGCTTTTATGCAAATAAGAATCGTCGGTTTCAGTGAGAAATAAATCAAGGCTGTCTACGTCGGAATCAGGTGTTCTACCACAGTGTCACGCCATTTTTTTTGGTTCATGGTATTTGTTCTAATGATTATTTTGAACTCCAATATTTGTTGAGGCGTATAGTGTTGCATTCATTCAGGGACAATAACCGCATAAGTAACACACAAGCATTCAAAGGCTAACATACATATATACTTAGCAAGTCTGGAAAATGAGAAGTTCTTCAAAACGTTGGTAAAGATGAACACCTCATGAAGATGTTGTGCCGGTCTGGTTTGAAGTCAAGTTCTTCGTAAATGTCTTGCATGCGCGTTTTCCACAGATTGGGCCGTCCCATAAAAAAGAACATATCAAAGGGCACTTTTCAAAGACATGTTGGGAAAAGGTGACCTATAGTATGTGAAGTAATGTTAAAATCTTTTTAACGATTATGTGAAGCATGTCCTAAAGCAGAATCAGATCTTTGCAGCAAATAAAGCAGTGTTCTATTGTCTCTGGCACATCTCAGAGACTACAGTTACCTGAAGCAACAAAAATACCTTTTTTTTTTGCAACCATGGTTTTACCGGCAGCGTATGTGTATGGAGTTTAGAAGAAATACAAAGATCATCTTTTACGAACAGGCCCACGCCATAGCTTGCAACTTCTCCGGTAAAATCACTATTTGAATTCCATGTAGTAGTGTTATAGCCTCTTAAACGCATGTAATATTGTGTGGCAGACGCTTAAAGCTGTGCCAGGCATCGAAGCGTGTGAATCGCGCAAGGAGTGGTTGCTTTCAAGGCCCACTCATTCCAAAGCCCTACGACATCTCCTCCAAAAGCATGAACAAAATCGGTAGCTGCGTTGGCTCACGCGTTCGCTTAACAGGCTGGGCCCTTCCATGATTCGCCAAAGGAAGAATCATGGCGTAGTGGGCACTTGGCAACTCTTTTTGCTGTAAGCAGTCTGGGATAGTTTTCAAGTGGCTAATTCCAAGCGTACAGTCGTTCAGTTACCTACCGCGCGGTTGAGGCATGCACTGAGAACCGGAGCTAGGCTAGCAAGGTGATGCGAACGGGCCCCGATTTGTTCATCATGTTTTACTCGTAACGGCTATGCTCAAGCGTCCCCCAAGTTTTTGCAAACCATATCAGAAATATTTCTTTCTGGCCCTACTTGTTTCTAGAAGGCTTAACCTATAGCTTTAGACGTTTGCTAATGTTTCCATTCACAATACTCGTAAATGTTGTAACACGCCCACAAGGTGTGGGGGATGACCATTATGTAAATCGACCAAACGAAACTCTGAAGACCTGCCTTGAAAGACTTTGTTTCAGCAGCTAGTGCTAATGCAACTGATCTACCCTCGCGAGAAATAGTGACGCAACCCCAAAGTTAGTTCTGAGCTGCCTTGGTCACTATTCAATGAACATACATTTGTTTAGCAGGCTTTATATGAGTGTAATACATTGAATATTGCTCTAATTGTCGCCGTTATGACGGCATGTGCCTATCAGAAAGGGAGGGCGAATCTGGCTTGCTGAGAGCTTCCTCCGTTGTTCTTTTGGGTTCTGCAAGCAACTTTCGCGACAACAATGTGGCATTGTTGGTAATGACCTCGCTGATGATGCCTCACTGTCCACGGAACGCCCACACAGTCCTGCTACCATTGTCGTGAAGAGACACTGCAATGGGCCTTCACTCACTAGCTGACGAAGTGTCGCAAATTCGTTGAGTGAACGCTGTGTCAGGAACTGTCACCTAGGTAAAACGGATCAATTGAAGGAGCTGCACATTCCATCGCCCATCTCCCGCCGTGAAGCAACCTCAATCTGACGCATTTGGTTACGAATGAATTTCACAAAACAATACTCATTTGTAACAGGAACGTCAGTCTCCTCCATATGCGACTGATGCAACAGTGACAAAACAATAGAACGCATACTAGTTTTAAGAGATGCGACGAATGAGATGGAGGGTATTAGCACTCTTCCGGCGAGCAGAGCGAACCCACGCATTCGCAGAGCCAGATGCGTCCAATTCGACCCCGAGCACACGTATAGTGGATACAGGGGTGAGGGTATGGCCATTTAGGCTCAAACATATCGGCGTCTGCAGGAGGCGACGGCGACCTCGTCTGTTGGTGATAGACATGAATGCAGTCTTCGTGGCAGATAGTGTCAGTCCTATGCGCGCACACCAGTCCGACGCCTTGTCGAGAGCACTCTGGAGTGCCTCCTGCTGGCGTTGAAGGTCTGGATGTAGTGTCCACACAGTCAAATCATCGGCATACAGGAGGAAGAAGGCATCTGGAATGCGTGCTAGTTGCCACGCGAGGGGCAACAGGGCAATATTGAAGAGTATCGGGGCTAGAACCGAGCCCTGCGGTACACCCCGCTTCATTACAAAGTGTCCGGTTCGTTCCTTGCCTACTCTGATGCAGAAGGTACGGTGTGCCAGAAAAGACTCCACAAAGTCGCAGACGCGAGGCGGAAGTTGAAAGCCATTGCATTATGTGATTGATCGCAGAGTGGCTGACGTTGTCGTAGGCCTTATGAACGTCCATGGCGAGAAGGGTTCGAATGCTGCTTGATCTTCTTCCCACAAGCACCATGGACGTCAAATGATCTAGGCCATCTTCCGTGCCCAGGTGCGGTCGAAAGCCAATCTGGGCCGGATGGTACCAGGCGTGCTTTTCCAGCCACCAGGAGATGCGCGACGCCAACATGCGTTCAAGAAGCTTGCACAACGTACACGTTAGAGCAATCGGCCGAAGATTAGAGAGGCTGTTCGGGTGCTTTCCCGGCTTAGGTATCGGCACAACTTCGGCATGCTTCCACGATTCAGGCAGCCCTCCGGTCGTCCAGACTGCGTTAAGCGTGTCCAGCAGCCACTGCAGTGCAGGGCCATCCATGTTCTTGAACACTTCATAGGAGATCCCATCTGGTCCTGGTGCCTTGCGTACTTTTGCCTGGTCAATTGCTGCCTGGAGCTCCGCCATCGTGTATGGCGCTTGCATGCCTTCGATGTCCGACGGACTGGGAGTCACGCCAACCTCCGGAGGCAGGTTACACGGACAGTCGAATTGTGGTGGGGCCAGGTTGTAGGCCGGGAAGAAAGCCTTAACTATTTCTGGAGCGAACTGGCTTGGCGTGCATCCAGAAGACAGACACGCACTGGCCGCTGGGTCCGGCGTACGGGCGCCTAGTTCCATACTCCGGAACGTTCGCCATATTGAGGCGGTTGAAGACGATGGACCGAGTGACGCACACCAGTCCATCCACCGTTCGCGGGCGAGACGCTTCTCGCAGCGACGCGCCGCAGCGGTGAGTCTGTTGAGGTTATCACGAAGCTCAGCGGCTGCCGGATCTCGGTTTAAGGCCAGCTCTGCACGACGGCGTGCTGCCCACAGACGCAGAAGATGTAAATTTGGATGTGGTCGGTTCTCCTCTACCCAGCTCAAAAGACGGGGGGTGCCTGTTCTCGAATGGCCCGTATCTTGGTGCGATCAATCCTACAACCTCGGCTCGTTTATCAAGCTCAGTTTCAACGACTGACTTTGAGAGACTGGGACTTGCTCGAAACCGCCAACCGAGATTCCATGAGGGCGATTACATGCCTTCCCCGTATGACACCTATCACGACCCTCCAGGCGGAAGCGCAGCTCAACACCATCGACGAAATTGTACACCAGCGTTGAGTCGCTCGCTACCTAAAGAGTCAAGCTGTTCCTGCGGCGGCAGCTCTAGCTCACTACTATGGTTCAACGCTGCCACAGCCTGACGCACCCGTGGCAGAAGTTCCACCATGGCTCAAGGCACAGGCCAGTGACAACCGACCACTGACCCGCCTGCGACAATCCACCCGACAAGCGGCGCAGGAGGGCATCGTCAATACCACCGAGAACTCACTAGCGGTATACGTAGACGCAGCTACCGATAATTGCGTTCTGCACACCAGTCTCGTATGCCCCGCGCAACCTGAAATCCAACATATCTGCTCTTACGTAACAGAGGCACCGTTCCCATCCGTATTAGCGGAGCTCACTGCTATACGGGACGGGTTAACAGTTATGATATCCAAAATGGATTCTTTGTCACACGATAAATTGCTTGTATATACGGACTCCACGCAGGCAGTTCGAGAGCTGCGAAAAGTGACCAGCTCCATCGATATAGCCTCCGATATACACCGACTGATCCACTCATGTGCCTGTCCTGTCCGCGTTCTGTGGACCCGCCGGTCTGCACCGGCTCAAGTGGAAGCAGATGCCGCTTGCCATCCAGCGACTGTTCAACACCCGCTGCCTCTACTTCGTTTGTCCCCGAAGGACAGCTTGCTTGTGCACAAAGAAACCCTCCGGCGCTCCACGCGTGCTCTCATTCCTCCGCGTGGATCTGACCTTCCCGGCGGCTTAACTCGCCGAGAGGAGGTTGCGCTCAGGAGGATTCGTGTGGGCGCCGCCTTGACTCCTGCAATCCGGGCTACATGGACATCTGGTGCACAGCCTCCCCCAACGACGTGCCCATTCTGCGTTGCCCCAGCCACAGAGGCAACGCTTGATCACCTATTGGGAACCTGCCCGGGCCTTCACCAGGCTCGCACTCGCCACCTACGCGGCCTTCACCACCACCCCGGCCGACCACCTGACTTGACGCGCTGGACGCACGGTCCACTGCATCGACAACTCCTGGCCTTCATACAGGAAACAAAACTTTTCCTTTTTATTTAACTGATGCCGTAGGGCATACTAGCGCCAATAAAAAAAAAAAAAAAGCATACTAGTTTTAGTTCTCGCTTTGTGACCCCCCCCCCAAAAAAAAAAAAAAAACGTTCTGTGCAGTGTGTTGGACCAACTAGGTGACCGGCCGTTTTGAAAAGATCCTCAGACCATGGCCCTGGGCGTCGCAGGCTATAGTAAATCGAGACGAGTATTGATATCGAGTTAAAGAGACTGATTAAGCGATCACTTGGAAGTGTGCGATGGGCAGGCATACATGTTCCACCTTGATATCCCTTTCTGGCGTCTCCTTTGTTCTTTTTAATCATCTAATTCTTTTCCCGCAGCATAGGGTGAAAAACCGGACGAGCCTCTGCTTGACTACTCTGCCTTTCCTTCATTTCCTCCATCTGCTCTTTTGCGAGAGGGGTTAATTGCACTAGCACTTAAAATAATTTATTATTAACTTTTTTTAGAAATAAATGGTACACAGGGTTATCTCCGAGTGAAATGAAAGCTATAAAATTTGAGAAACTTTCTGCAATTTCTGAGCTCTCTTGAGTTGAAACAAGGTTTGTCTTACTCTCCAGCACTGCCTAAGGTTCTACAGAGATGTAAAACAAAACTAAAAATAACGTGATAGTTAAGAGAGCTCTTGAATATAACTTCATATCCAAACTCTACTAAGCAACTGTCTTGCATTGTCCTCATTGCGCGCGCTCACTTTCAGCGGCCCCGTCCGAGGAGCGCCGGTTCTTCACATTCCACGACTGGGGTGTGGCTGTGTACGATCCGGACAACTGCCGTCTCTACCACCAGATACAAAGCGTCGACATCATCCCGGGCACGCAGGAGTACGTGTGCGGCGATCGGGGAGCCAACTGCTCCTGGGGCCGCGCTATCAACGTGGCCGACCGATACGTCTACGTCTCCCAGCCTACCAAGGGCCGTGTGCTCATCATATCGCGCATACAGATGGTCGTCGTCGATGTAAGTACCGCGACCACCCCGAGGGAAAAGCGAAGTGCAGTTACCACGGCCCTTTTCCTAAGAGAACATATCTGCTAAACCAACAAACCAAAGCCTTTCCCAATTTTATTTAAAAATCAGCAGAATAAATGTTGAAAATTTATTGATCGATTGATATGTGGCGTATGACGTCCTAAAATCACCATATGAGTATGAGAGACGCTGTAGTGAAGGGATCCGTAAATTTCGACCACCTGGGGTTTTTAACGCGCACCCAAATCTGAGCACACAGGCCTACAACATTTACGCCTCCATTGAAAATGCAGCCACCGCAGCTGGCATTCGATCCCGTGACCTGCTGGCCAGCAACCAAGTGCCTAGACCACCGGGGCGGGGCTGTTGAAATATTTATCTACCTTTGGACAATTTCATAATTTAGCAATGGTTGTGTAAGCTCACATCTACGGTTATGACACTGTGAATAACGTTAAACCTCACTGTCTCTTACATTTATTTATTTCTCTCTCTCTAAATAACGTTCACTCAGTCTTCGGAAACCTGTAAGGTGGCGGATGAGTAAGGAAAAAAAGACAAGACAACCACACGTTTCTTGCACGAAGCCACAAGGAAAGGTGTTGGTCCGGCGTTCGAACTCCGGACCAAGGCAAATCTTTCGGCAACTAAGAAGCTTTTCTCTGATAAACGGGTTTTCTTGTGGCTTCGTGCTACAAACGGGTGGTTGTCTTTTTTTTTTTGATGTCTTAATGTTCTTCATTGAAATTCCTGCTCCACTCACACCCGCAAACACACGTGTATATATATATATATATATATATATATATATATATATAGCACCCGGTGTATATATATAGAGCACCCGGTGTATATATATATATATATATATATATATATATATATATATATATATATATATATATATATATACCGGGTGCTCAAAGTTAAGTTTCATGATTTTTAAATTCGATGCTCGAAGGCGCGTGAGAACCACCTGTGTTATTGAGTTAAGTGGTCAGGGGAACAAAAAGTTAGATGATAATTATCGCTGTGAGAAGACCAGTTACTAAAATTTAATAGTTATTTGTTTCTGGCTGCGGTAAGTTGCCATGTTTATATCGAAAAAATGTAGGCAGTGGTGTTTGGGCACAGTTTCAGTTGGAAGACCCGCCGCGGTAGTCTAGTGGCTAAGGTAATCGGCTGCTGACCCGCAGGTCGCGGGATCGAATCCCGGCTGTGGCGGCTGCATTTTCGATGGAGGCGGAAATGTTGTAGGCCCGTGTGCTCAGATCTGGGTGCACGTTAAAGAACCCCAGGTGGTCAAAATTTCCGGAGCCCTTCACTACGGGGTCTCTCATAATCAAATGGTGATTTTGAGACGTTAAACCCCACATATCAATCAAGATTTTTTTCTAGCACGCCTGTGCTCCGAGATATCTGGCTCCAAAGTTTAATTTTCGCCCCGCCACGGTGGTCTAGTGGCTAAGGTACTCGGCTGCTGACCTGCAGGTCGCGGGATCAAATCCCGGCTGTGGCGGCTGCATTTCCGATGGAGGCGGAAATGTTGTAGGCCCGTGTACTCAGATTTGGGTGCACGTTAAAGAACCCCAGGTGGTCAAAATTTCCGGAGCCCTTCACTACGGGGTCTCTCATAATCAAATGGTGATTTTGAGACGTTAAACCCCACATATCAATCAAGATTTTTTCTAGCACGCCTGTGCTCCGAGATATCTGGCTCCAAAGTTTAATTTTCGCCCCGCCATGGTGGTCTAGTGGCTAAGGTACTCGGCTGCTGACCTGCAGGTCGCGGGATCAAATCCCGGCTGTGGCGGCTGCATTTCCGATGGAGGCGGAAATGTTGTAGGCCCGTGTACTCAGATTTGGGTGCACGTTAAAGAACCCCAGGTGGTCAAAATTTCCGGAGCCCTTCACTACGGGGTCTCTCATAATCAAATGGTGATTTTGAGACGTTAAACCCCACATATCAATCAAGATTTTTTCTAGCACGCCTGTGCTCCGAGATATCTGGCTCCAAAGTTTAATTTTCGCCCCGCCATGGTGGTCTAGTGGCTAAGGTACTCGGCTGCTGACCTGCAGGTCGCGGGATCAAATCCCGGCTGTGGCGGCTGCATTTCCGATGGAGGCGGAAATGTTGTAGGCCCGTGTACTCAGATTTGGGTGCACGTTAAAGAACCCCAGGTGGTCAAAATTTCCGGAGCCCTTCACTACGGGGTCTCTCATAATCAAATAGTGGTTTTGGGACGTTAAACCCCACATATCAATCAAGATTTTTTCTAGCACGCCTGTGCTCCGAGATATCTGGCTCCAAAGTTTAATTTTCGCCCCGCCATGGTGGTCTAGTGGCTAAGGTACTCGGCTGCTGACCTGCAGGTCGCGGGATCAAATCCCGGCTGTGGCGGCTGCATTTCCGATGGAGGCGGAAATGTTGTAGGCCCGTGTACTCAGATTTGGGTGCACGTTAAAGAACCCCAGGTGGTCAAAATTTCCGGAGCCCTTCACTACGGGGTCTCTCATAATCAAATGGTGATTTTGAGACGTTAAACCCCACATATCAATCAAGATTTTTTTCTAGCACGCCTGTGCTCCGAGATATCTGGCTCCAAAGTTTAATTTTCGCCCCGCCACGGTGGTCTAGTGGCTAAGGTACTCGGCTGCTGACCTGCAGGTCGCGGGATCAAATCCCGGCTGTGGCGGCTGCATTTCCGATGGAGGCGGAAATGTTGTAGGCCCGTGTACTCAGATTTGGGTGCACGTTAAAGAACCCCAGGTGGTCAAAATTTCCGGAGCCCTTCACTACGGGGTCTCTCATAATCAAATGGTGATTTTGAGACGTTAAACCCCACATATCAATCAAGATTTTTTCTAGCACGCCTGTGCTCCGAGATATCTGGCTCCAAAGTTTAATTTTCGCCCCGCCATGGTGGTCTAGTGGCTAAGGTACTCGGCTGCTGACCTGCAGGTCGCGGGATCAAATCCCGGCTGTGGCGGCTGCATTTCCGATGGAGGCGGAAATGTTGTAGGCCCGTGTACTCAGATTTGGGTGCACGTTAAAGAACCCCAGGTGGTCAAAATTTCCGGAGCCCTTCACTACGGGGTCTCTCATAATCAAATAGTGGTTTTGGGACGTTAAACCCCACATATCAATCAAGATTTTTTCTAGCACGCCTGTGCTCCGAGATATCTGGCTCCAAAGTTTAATTTTCGCCCCGCCATGGTGGTCTAGTGGCTAAGGTACTCGGCTGCTGACCTGCAGGTCGCGGGATCAAATCCCGGCTGTGGCGGCTGCATTTCCGATGGAGGCGGAAATGTTGTAGGCCCGTGTACTCAGATTTGGGTGCACGTTAAAGAACCCCAGGTGGTCAAAATTTCCGGAGCCCTTCACTACGGGGTCTCTCATAATCAAATGGTGATTTTGAGACGTTAAACCCCACATATCAATCAAGATTTTTTTCTAGCACGCCTGTGCTCCGAGATATCTGGCTCCAAAGTTTAATTTTCGCCCCGCCACGGTGGTCTAGTGGCTAAGGTACTCGGCTGCTGACCTGCAGGTCGCGGGATCAAATCCCGGCTGTGGCGGCTGCATTTCCGATGGAGGCGGAAATGTTGTAGGCCCGTGTACTCAGATTTGGGTGCACGTTAAAGAACCCCAGGTGGTCAAAATTTCCGGAGCCCTTCACTACGGGGTCTCTCATAATCAAATGGTGATTTTGAGACGTTAAACCCCACATATCAATCAAGATTTTTTCTAGCACGCCTGTGCTCCGAGATATCTGGCTCCAAAGTTTAATTTTCGCCCCGCCATGGTGGTCTAGTGGCTAAGGTACTCGGCTGCTGACCTGCAGGTCGCGGGATCAAATCCCGGCTGTGGCGGCTGCATTTCCGATGGAGGCGGAAATGTTGTAGGCCCGTGTACTCAGATTTGGGTGCACGTTAAAGAACCCCAGGTGGTCAAAATTTCCGGAGCCCTTCACTACGGGGTCTCTCATAATCAAATAGTGGTTTTGGGACGTTAAACCCCACAAATCAATCAATCAATCAATCAAAGTTTAATTGTCTTTCGCGTGATTACGCATGCAAGAGGGTGAGGATCAGTGCAAAGCTTCTCCTTAAAGTGACGCAGCTGTTGTGTGTGCTGTTTAGTATGGGAAGAAGGTGGAAACGTTAGCACAGGTGACAAACTGTTATCGCCTATGCCTGCGCTTCCCATCAAAATCAAAAATTGAAGAACCCTTGCAACCAGTGTCATAACACGCAACTGCAAGGCCTCTAACAATAGTGGCAGATACCATGCCGAGATAATGGTGCGATGAGAGAATCTGGATGCCAGTGTGCGTGCGTAATAATCACTTGAGAAGCGTGCGCGGTCGTTGCCTGGGCTACGCGAATAGCGTGACTGCTGATGTCCGAGTATACTGTAACTTTTATTGAAATCAAGAACAACTCCGCCAATAATAACTGAACCAGTTTTATCCTTGCTAACGCATATTTCCAGCTGCTACATAAGCTTAATTTTGGGCAAGCACAAATCTCATCGAAACTCTTCACCTCTCAACACGTCAATGGCCCAAACAGTGTTCAAAATGCCTGCCTTCGACAGCAACACAAAGCATGAAACGCTCTCGCATCGACTTGATGACTCGGCGCACTACTTCTGAACGAATACTCGCACAAGCAGATACTATTCTGTCCTCCATGTTATTAACATCGCTGGGCTCTGTTACGTAAACTCGACTTTTAACGTATCCTCAAATAAAAAAGTTGAGCGGAGAAATGTCAGGAGATTTTGGCAGCCAAAACATTGTTCCTGCACGCCTAATACACTGTTGTGGAAAACCTCTGTCCAAATAAATGTTCACCCTGCTAGAAAAATGTGGTGACGCCCCATCGTGCTGAAACCATACTTGGCGCAGGTTATTCAAGGAAAGACTGCACACAAGGTCATCAATGACAACACCTTATATTTCTTCTGTGTACATCTTTCCGTT